AGCAAATACTAGATAGGACAGATAAAGTGCTGTTTAGCTACATAATTATCGTGAATTCTTGAAATATGCTTCTCCATTAATGTGTTAATTGAAACCAAGGTTTTTCCAGAGTGTCTGCAATCATGGAAATCTCATTCTGAAATGAGAATATATTATTGTGTTGACATACAACTAGATGCATAGCTGCATGCGTGAACTCCGGGTTCTTGTTGATAAAAAGTTTAACTCGGGATTCCTTTGGAACCCTGAGTAATAATCCATGAAAGGGCATAGAGCTCCTTTGCAGCATCATACTAACTATAGCAGCGAGCTATACCAAAAAAACTTTGATACTAACTTTAACTGCACCTTTTGCTTTAAACACCATGTTYAGCTGAGTTACAAAATTAATTGAACTCTAAATTGAGTTGCTTGTTATCAAAATTTGCATGCATCTGGAACAGTTACTCTTAAACTGTGAATTCACATTATTTTTAAACAGAAATGTTCATTTTTGTGCAATGTCAAAGTATTCAGTATAACCAACATTTTTTGAAATGAATTAAAAGTAAAGTTTTTGAGCACAGTGGGAGGCAACCAGAAGTAGGCTTACATCAGAATGGTAGGGGTTGATGCCACTTCTATCCCAATTCTGGTACCCATTCACACACACACACCCCTTGTTGAAGAGATGCACTGAGAGAGAAAATCATCTTGCCTAAGGACATATAAGGTGGTTCCCTTGTCTGGGAATTGAACATGTGCCTGTAGACCCAAAATGTGGTGCCTTTTAACTACTACACCATCACACCTGCCTATAAAATGTAGCATATAGCATACATGTGATTCCACAGCACAGTCACCTTAGAGTTCCACTGTCTTTCCTTTCAGAATGACTCAAACACAAAGATAAACAAGGGATCCAACAGCTCCTTAAAAGGCCTAGAGGGACACCAATCCAATGGAAGCATCACAATGAAGGATGGTGAACAAGGATTGATCAATGATAACCCTTTGACTAGTGAACTGAAAAAGGATGATCTCTCGGATGCTAGCCATAACAAACCAAAAGCCAAGAAGAGACCTTTAAGGAAWACCACAAAGAAAACAAATGAGATATCAGATTCCAGTTCTAGCTTGTCATCATTGTCGTCTAACTCTGATGAGGTTGTAGAAACCTTTAATGGACAGAAAGGTGTATCAAYAAGCCATGGATCTAATTTGGATTCCCATGACAACAAATATAGTGGTTTGCACGACCAAAACAAACATTCTCTGCCAAATGTACTTGAAGAGATCAACAGAGAAAAAGAGAAATTAAAAGAATTGCTATTGAATGCAAATCAAAAGAACGAGGTAATGTTTACATTTTACTGTAATTTTACTGAGAAACATTTTGGATTATAAATTATTAATGTCTTATACCACAAATCAGCCATTAATAGCTTCTTGTAGAGAATTGGCAGTCTTTGAAAACTTTGCTGCAAAAAAGGCAACTTTTCTCGTCTGCTTACTAGTGGCTTTTTTGCCCAATGAATCTGTTACATTAGTCACTTCAAAAAGATCTTTAAGATGAATGTTTAGCATGCAGTACTTTGATCACTACATATGAGTTTCTTCCTCCATAAAGCACTGCCCTTGAATAACCACCATCCATAAACATGAGCACCTCCCATTTAAGCTTTCTTTAATGCAGACATTTTAAAATATGTACTCATATTTTGCTAAATACATGTACTACATGTATTTTGTAACCTTTGGTGCTTATTAAACACAGGTGCTAACTGTTCAAATTGAAGAAGTCAAGAGATTAAATGAGGATTTGAAGAAGAAGAATACAGCACTTGAAGATGACACAATTCAGGAACTAAGAGCACAACTTTCAAATTTAACCCAAAGTCGGGATGATGTACAGAAAGAACTTGAAAGTACAAGAGAAGAACATGAAAAAAGTAAACAATCTAATGAACAATTACAGAAAGACATTGAAAATAGATCTTTGGAATTAGAAAATCAGAGAAAAGCATATAATGAGTTAAAAGAACAGCTAGAGCTTGCTAAGAAAGAAGTCAAGAGCAAGGAGGAACAAAGCAATGCAAATGAAAGGCAAATCACTGAAGACCTGACCAAAGCACACTCCGACATAATGCTGAAAGACCAAGAAGTGAATGAATTGAAAAATCAGTTGAAAGATGCAAGAGAGGAGCTAGAAAGCAAAGAAAATGAAAGCTCTGATTTTGAAGAGCTCAAAGAGATGCTTAAGGATGCAAAATTGAAAGCAGCAACTCAAGTTGATGAGATTGAGAAACTAAAAAGTGAACTGCAAACAGCTGAGCAAAATCTTGCCAGCAAATCAGAAGATGATGCTAACGAACAACTAAAACAAGAAGAACTTGAGAATTTGAAGTCAAGTGTTGAAAGCCAAGAACAACAACTAGTCGACCTAAAAAAAGAGTTGGAAATTGCAAAAATGGACATTGCAAGCAAAGAAAATGACACAATTGAAWTGCAAAAGCTGAAAGAAGAGCTTGAGAGTGCAAAGTCAAAAGTGCAAGAGCAAGAACAAGAAATTGCTAAACTGACAGATCAATTAGAAATGGCAAAGTCAGATATTGAAGGCAAAGGGTATGATGGGAATTCAATAGAAGTTCAACTAAGAGAAGAACTAGTTAATGCCAAAGCAACRGTACGAAGTGTTAATCAAGCTAATTCTAAACTTGAGGCAAAGCTTAGTAATGCACAAACAATCATMGAAACAGGAGAAGTTGAGTACAAGAAATATAAAGAGGAAATCAAGGCATTAAAAGATAAAATCAAATGGTTGGAAAGAAGAAGAATGCCTGATAAAGAAAGTACACCAAAGACAAGCCCAAGGTCAGAAGGATCGCCAAAAGATGACCTTGATAACAAACTACAGCATGAATCTTTGAGAAGAAGTCAAGAAAGGATCAGAGACCTTGAGCAGAAGGTGATTCAAGTAAATAAGGAGAAGGAAAAGTTGAAAAATGACTACGATGAGGCAGTCAAGGCACTTGAAGCAGTTGATAAAGTGGTAAGTCTCACTAACAACAATCTGCTGTGTACATACAAAATGTATTATCAAATCAAACTATGGGCTACAAATCCAGCATTTTGATTGGCGATTGAACTAATGTTTACATGATGAATGAAGCAAAAATAGTAAAACATATACTAACAGTCATGCTGTTGAGAAAAATTGTTATAATTATTATTAAGTAATCATGGAATTTTTCAAATATGACACAACTTTGGTTTGGTTTGATTTGATTACTACTTCATGTTTAAATACATCAGATGGATAACGAGAATATTCCTCTTTTATTACCATTTGTTTYATCATTTTGATACATTTTGAAGAGAGAAACTGATTGAGCTTGCACATTTGGTAGACATTACAGAGTAATGTCACTTAATTACAGGCAACTATCGCTCTAGTAACCATCATATTGCAAGCTATAATGGTTATATCTCACTAAGTTTAAGATGCCTTTTAGATGCCAGTGGGAACACTGTGAAATGAAATATTTTCTTTTTTTATTTTGAAACGTTTTATTCTGTTATTCAGTATAGTGTGAGAGAAATGGCTTTACAGCAATACAAAACAGATCTGGAAGATGCAAACAACACAATAAAACAACGTAAGTAAAAGCTAGCTATCTCAACATGGATTTTGATAATGCTATCTATAACAGTCGAGATGAAAGCATTCAACTTTTATTAAAGTTAACTGGAATTGCAATAGCATGGGTGATGAGCTGCCAATGAGGATGCCTGTTCCTGGCTCAAGGGAAGTAACCATCATGTAACCACCATCCATGGTCACCACCTGGCACACATAACACTAACCCTTAAATTATACTCAACTATACTTACCAGGAATTGATGGGTGGGAAAGCCCCCGGGGGGTGTGCCACTGGGACCTCAAAACCCTGACCCTGTTCCAGAGTAAAATCATTGAAAACTATACCCTGTTCCAGAGTAGAATCGCTGAAAATGATACCCTTTTCCACAGTAAAATACAGCACTAGCCTGCATGATCGAATTTTTACCCAGTGAATTTTTACCCAACATCAATAATTCCTGAATTATTCGCTGAACCTGTTCCAGAGAAAAGTCGCTGAAATTGATACCGTGTTCCAGAGTAAAATCGCTAAAAACGATTGCCTGTTCCAGAGTAAAATAGCTGAAAAACGATACTCTGGTTGGTGGCACGTCCCCCTCCCCGGGGGCTCATATGCATTGATCTGGACAAGCAAGCAAGCACCATGTGTAGCCCTGCACAACTCAGAGGCCACCCCACACACAGACATCACTACCCACTAAGATTTAAGTCTTGATGACGTATGAATTACCTACTGTAAATAAAGGCTTTTGGAAAATTTCTCACCAGAATCCACTGAACTTCTTCAAAATAAGATGGAAACAGACAAGCTTAAGAAAGACAATGAACAAACAGAGAAAGATTCAAAACATCAGCAACAAATCCAAGAAGAGCTAAAGGAACAGCTAACAAGAACCAAAGAAACAGCTTCAATTTATAAAACTGAAATGGATGAAGTTAGGAAAGAGTATCAAGAACAAATTCATGAAGTACAAATGGCTCAGTGAGTGTTATGTTAATATAATATTTTGCAACAATTTGCAAAATATAGTTATGTATGTAGGCTCACTCTCAAAAAGTAGCCTTCATCATCTTCTTGTGGTTGACCCTTATTTTTATAACCATATTGCACACTATAAGTGCTATCCAAAGGAGCAGATTTAAGGGGGCCGAAGGGGTTGCAGAACACACTTTTGCTGAACAAAAATTTAAAAAAAGGCAATAAGAAAACATCGAAAAATAAAATTTGCAATTTTTTTTTAATCATTTGCAATTTCAAGTTGATGAGAAAGCAATTCAGGAAAATTTCCAGGAACATTTCCCTCCATTTTTGTCAGTGGCCCCCTCTTTTCAAAATTACTGGGTCCGCCCCTGATCAGCAGATTTGTGTACTTGTGTTAACAGGTACTTGGCAGTGGTATTTTACTTAATAATATTTTTATGTACTAGGGCTAGAGCAAGGGAAAGAGGCAAGAAAATCCAAATCCTTGAGCTTGAGCTTAAGGAAACTAAAGAAACTCTACTGGTGTGTGATAAAGAAAACACAAATGATGTCTTACTGCTAGACAAGTCTTTGTTCACAGATCATATCGTTATGTCTACTTGCTTGGTCTAACTGTGAATAATTCTTATTTTTAGATTTCTAAAAATGTCATTGATGAGAAGAAAARGAATATGGAAATCTTGCAGGAAAGTTTGGAAAGTGAAAAGAAGAACTGCAAAAACCTGGAAAATGTAAGCAGCATATACTCTACCCATCATACATGTAGTCTTAACTCCATGGAACTCTCTACTAATGGCTAACAAATGGGCTTCCTTTGGTGAGACATACGGGTACTGGGAATAAGACAAGAGAGCTAGCAGGTCATATCGTTCTCATCCCCTCACCCTCTGCTTTTCAATAATCGTTCTCAGACTTCCCAATAACAGAAACAGAGCAGAATATTTGGAGGATTGTCATTAYGTGGTGTTGAGCATTGTGTTCAGCTGCAAAATGCACTTTAATTAGACTACATGTACAAGTTTTACATTCAAAGTGAATTTCTGTTCTCTTCATGCCATTAGCAACTCGAGGAAATGTTTTACTTGAAAAAGAAGTTACAGTTAATTGAAGATGAGAAGGCAAGGGTTGTTGAGAAACTAAGAAGAACAGATGAGGACCTCAATGAGACAAAGGAAGCTTTGGAGAATTCCTGCCAAGACAAGAAGGTAAATAAAATATTGCAGCTAGGAAGCAGTTTAGATTTGAAGTACCTACATGCAAGTACATGTACCCATTGCTATCATACATGTATGTCTTTATCATACCTATGTGTCAATATATGTAAAAAGGGGCCTGTAATTGCACTTCGACTTGAAAGCGTATGAGAGCTGTGCCCTTTTGCTGTTCAGCACACCTAATTGCAAAGACGTTGTCATAAAGAAATAGAACATTCTATACTTTAGTGCAAAATTAGTGCATTAAAAAAAAAGATCTATCAAGCTGAACGCTAAATTTTGCTATTTCTTTAAGACAATATTTTAGCAATAATACAARTCAAAACTTACAGTGATTCCAGAGCAACTGATCTTTTAATGTCATCTCTTGTTTTTTTCCATAGGGCCTTGATAAGCAACTTGAGGATTTAAGAAAAGACCACACATCCTTATGTGACAAAAGTGATGATCAGAAATACCAGATCCAGAAGTTGAAGAGTATTGTTGATAGCAAAGAGGCRGATGTGGAACAGCAGTTATTAGACATTATATATTATCGAGATCAAATAGATGACTTGACTTTACAGCTACAAGAGTTATGGGCCACATATAATGCAGATAGAACTCTTGGAAAGACTGGAAAACCATCCAGGTATTGCTATCATTTCAATCATTTTGAGTGTCTACTTTAATGTTGTTAAAGGGGGGACGGTTATGATATCAAAATCAAATTTCGAATGACTTTAAAAGTGTTGGGACTTTCCTATTTCTTTTCTAGAATCGCAAAGCAACACGCATTATTACATGGGCTTCCACTAGAGGAAAGAACCCTTGTTGTTCTCGTTGTGTCACAGCGAGCTCAAAATGCTTACTTTATTTTTTTAAAGTAAATCACTGATTCACATTCGCTTAATCATAAGTTACGTTTTTAACTTGGATTCTCTACTTGCACATGACCCATAATACCTTCTGATTTTGGGGAGTAGGTTTTGTGATGCAAATAAAATTAATTGTTATTCAAATATAAATGATTTCAATAACAATAACTACCCCCCAAAATCAGAAGGTATTATGGGTATGCGCAAGTAGAGAATTTAATCATTTTCCAATTCTGAGGACTTCAATGTTGCGACGTCAAAACTTGAATATTTTGCTGCTGTTGTTGTTGTAACAATGATGTGAATGTCTTAATAAAAACGGATTATTGAATCCAAGCCAGAGGCAAAGTATATAATTAGCGTTTTCTATGAATAATCGTTGTTTTTTAGAAGAAGACCTCATAGTGCATCTTTGAGAAGAACACCTAAAGCACCAGCCTATCAAAGCCCGCCATCAAAGCCCCATACTTATGCTCACAGACGATTGGTTAATAAATTAGGTGAACCACTACTAAACCAGAGTTACATCAACTCTACACACAAGGTGTGSGATTGTTTTTTATTCAATATCATATCAAATGATTTTTGTTATTTTTCGTGTTTATTATTTTACCCAAACTGGAAGGAAAGCGTTAGCGTCGGACCAAGGGCCGCGGAGTGAAAATCAGGCTTAATATCTGTGTGTTTTTGTTGTTTGTTGTTCTTCTTATTTTTCTTATTTTCTCATTTGGTTTGCTGCATTAGAGACTGAGTAGTCAGCTTATATAAGATCTTTGAAATGTCATTGCATCATATGGAAATTATTGATTTCTGCCGAGAAAGTCGAGAAATAACGAAAATTGTAGAGTTTTATTGAACCTATCAATAATCAAGTACATGTAATTATATAGCGTGTTTTGACCGTGATATCTTTGTTTCAGAAATTAACAAGAAATATAAGCTGGTAGTAAAATAATTTAGAATGTCTTTCTCAATCGCTATATTCATCATTACTACTATCATTGCTGATCACAGAAAAATCTAACATTTTAACTTTGTAATCACCAGTCCCTCCCAACAGCACTGCCGTCTGTAACACCACAGGAAGCCCAGCCCGAGGGAAATGAATCTTCACCACCAGAAAATGGAAATCAGCTTGWAGATGTTGAAAAGTGCACCTCGGCAAAGTCGTATCCAAGACTACCAAGTGSAACTAAGCCAAGGCCCGTGTCGTCTTACGGAGTGCGTAGCAGCCCACCAGTGAACGGAGAGAAATACGAAGATCTTTGGATGTACAAAGATGGCGGTAGTTCAGTCAATGGTGATATTGACRAGCAAATTGTCAACTTTTTGGTCAATATTGGTGACCGGGTCCTCATACAGAGCAAAGTCGTTGGTGAGTTACTTATCAGCTTCTCAGTCTTTGAGTAGGCGAGATAAGCAGTCATTTACAATGGTTGATCAAGTGTTCCGTCAATCATTTCATAAATCAGTCAGTCTCGGGTCTGTTTTCTTATGACTTGTAAGTTAGTGACTGCTGAAGTCCGTCAATTACAATAAACCTTTAATAAGGTAAGACAGCAATGGGTAGTCAGCAGCATATGCGYACCAATTTCATACCTGTCATAGCAATAAGGTCAYCAATCCTTGCTATGCAGATTTGYCGACTGACAAGATACGGCTAATTCAGAAAAATGTTGAATACGGAAGATGTGTATTCCTAGACCGAAATGCATTGTTGGTCATTCTATCGCCGTCTAATAAACGTTTTCGTTGTTTCAGAGTGACTGCACCAGCTCCGCACTGTCGAGAAATACACTAGAAAGCCATTATGTTTAGAATTGTCATGTTATAACGCAGCTAACGTAGAGTTTATTAGCAGCAATGCATTGCGGTCTTGGAATACACTATACAGGATACAGAATTCATAATTCAGCGCCTTCTGCAATAGCTGTAAACCAAGGAAACTAATTGAGACATTATATGCTTCCACATGCCATTTCGGGTGTAATAATGCTCTAATCATACATCATGCTGTGTACTTTAGGCGAGGAACTTCTGAATGTTTCTGGTGTGGTCAGGTTTGTTGGTAAAGTTGGCAAGAAAACAAGTGCTAGTCCAACTTATGTTGGATTGAAACTCGATCAACCTTGTAAGTCAACAAAAATAGCCCAATTTTTTGTAACGATTACAGAAAGTTTCAGGTACATGTATCTCTWAATTTAAATCATTCAAATTCAAATGATTTGAATGCAGTCACAAGGATGGAATACTAGACTGATTTCATAAGTTACTGTTGGACACATGAGAGGCCGAATTTTCGAAAGAGAGAAAATTTGGTCCGATTTATGAAATCAGTCTAAAAAGGGCTGGCATAGCCTGCTAACAGGCGTTCCTGCGCCTGTTAGCAGGCTAGGGCTGGCAATGAATGACTTTCCAGTAATTTGATCCCTCGCCAAACGCAATGCATGCATGGATTGCYAAGGGGCAAASAAAGYGTGATCTACAAGAGTTTGTATGGCGGAAATTCGTATTTTCATGTTTATCGCTCGATTTTTCAGTGGATATGTTTCTTACGCCGTTTTTACGGGATATTATTAGGAGGAAGTTGTACAATCTGGATACGTATGTTTTGAACGATATATGTAAAATTATAGGCGAAAAACTCGATTTTCTTTCGCAACTCGCAGTGTGAATGTACACAGTAACACTTCGCTCGACACGGACTTAAAATATTGAGATTTTTTCTCAAGATAAATGCATGATTGCTCAATAAAATCATTCTATATATATTCTWAAGTGTGTGAAACATTGTTATCAAAAATTCGAGGATTCAGGGTGAGTTTTTTGAACTCTAGAATGTTAACTTCAGAAAGATCTAAACTACATTGTATCCGTTCGCGGTGATGGAAATTGTTGCTATATTGCTGTCGCTGTATTGCTTTGTGTTTGAACAAAAAGTGACCAATGACACGCGGAATTGTAGAGCCTATACGCTTGTTTGATGAGGCAAATGTACAGGTTTTTGAGCCGCTTTTATTTACTGCAYGATCAGTAGAACAACATCTCACTTTGTCCACATCGTAGCTCCTCATAAACAATGTTGKCGTGCTATTAGAGCACACTTTGGTACTTTTTGTTACCTTTTAAGGTGACAAAAAGTACCAAAGTGTGCTCTAATAAAAATTGTGCTTTGTTT